CGCCCTGCCAGGGCTGACGAAAGTGTACACACCGACTGGAGGTCGATGTACGAGCATGTTCTGAGCTGCGTCTTTTCACGGAAATACAGGACACAGGCTCCGCCACAACCCACATGGAAAAAAGGCAGGCCGAAACCGCCGGGCGTGCAGCACGAATTGACCGACATTTTTGAGTTCTCCGCAACCACTTCGTCTGACCTGCCTTGTGCTGTAGGACAGGACCGCAGCATTCTGGCGTCACGAGATCGCGAAGACGTCAACATAAGCCATATCTGGAAGGGAAAGGTGGTTGACACGTTGTATATTTGAGATGTCACCCAGTCTTAGGTTCTGTGGACAGTGTTGAGGGCCGATATTATTGGAACCCATTGTGCGACAGAACTCAACATGCAAGTTACTATAATGGCCGCGGTACACACATGCAAAGTGTTTCACGTGCCCTCTTGCTTTACCGAGTGACCCAATGGCAGGTTCCAATCGCCTGGTCTTCCTGGTGAATCTTGTCTTGTTCCTGTATCATCATGGCCATGCATTCGCACAATGACATCGCCTCAGGAACGTTTGCTTAAGCAAGTCGCATGCCACTCATTTCTTCGTCGGCTGTCTACTATATAACTGGTAAGGGAACGCTAAAGGCCTGATAGTAGAAATACTTTATGGTGAACCTCCTGCTCTGTGCTCGTGAAAGCTCGCGGACCTTGCGATCTCTATGCCAGGAGGCACTTGTGGAGCCAAGAATCGGGTGGCTCAGGGGCTGCTCGTCTGGGGGCTTGAGACCACAGGGCGACGGAGAGCTAGATTTCAGACGTTTAGCTACCCCCTGCCTTAAGATAACTATCGGATATCCTCTGCGAAAGACCTCTTCAACCTGCTCATTCCGCCGCTTTGACAAAAGTATGACAAAAGTATAGGCCCTAGGCCTATGACTTAAGGCTCTTAGCAGTAGCGCGTGGAATGTGTATGACGATGCGATAACAACAAGCAACGAAATGAACCCTGGTATGTTCACAAAGCGGGCAGAGCAAGCCCTGCGATCCACGCGGCATTCACAACATCATCTCTAAAAATTGGCGTCGGCAAATGCTTACTGCCGCTACTGTCTATTTGTCAGTGCGTGGTATAGAGCAGAGTGAAGAGGTCTTCCAAAAGGTCCGCAGCAATGAGAACATAGGCAGGGGGGCAGAATACAGCTGCATTCTGGCCCTCCGCAGTCTTGATATATGCGTTTCTCGTAACTAGCCTCTGACCGACCGCCCTGCTGAGTAGCTCCGCAGGGCCACCTGACAACGTTTGATGTAGCCGTTACTATCAACTCCAAATCAGGCCGGTGCTATTCTACATGCAGGGTGGAAGAAATGTCACAGTGTCCTCCAGAAAAGATTCAGATCTCCAGTCCAAAGATCGAGAAGCTGCCTAATCCTTATGACCATAACCGATATCTGGTGCAGCGAAAGTTTTTCCGAGGCTGGCCAGACTGACTTCTTGTTCTTCTTCTTAGTCGTACCAAGTTTCTCCCCTCGATATTTTGCTTCCTTGAACTTCATGGTCTCCTCGTCCTTGATATAGCTATGAAAGGCCACGTGTGTTCCCTTCCGCATATTCTCATCGTCCTTGTAGCAGAGTGTGATGTGCGGGCCTTTTGCATCCTTTTGGTAGACGCTATGAATGGAAATCGTGCCGTGCAGGTCGGAGCTGGTTCGTCTGGTTCGCAAAATGCTCCGACCTGGAAACCTGGAAACCCGCTCTGATTATCGTAGCAAGGATAAGCCATACTGAATGAAGATTGCTTGAGGATAAAGCTTTTTGGCTCGCGCTGTTTGGTCAGCTATGGCGACAAGCTTTCGCATGTACTCCTCCGTTTCTGGGCGGTGTCTTTTATGGAAGTAGTACTTGACAACATTGATCGTAGAGCCGGACATATTTGATAATTAGGCAGTGGAAAGTGAGCGAGGCTCTCGTGAATGTGAGACTTCATGACAAAGATTTCCGAGTCGGTCTCTCTACCACTTTATGAATTCACGTCAAGTACCGTCGGTTCCAATGCTTAATCTTCATGTTTCTTCCGAGGCCATATCAGTCCTTGCTCAGGGTGCAACCCCATATGATGCGCAATCGTGATAACTTTTAAGCGGTCGTTATCAGTTGATTTTTGACTTAGTCCAACGCCTACGGTTTCATGTTGCCCGGTACTCACTCATAATGACAGGGTGGGGGGTCGGCAAAGGTTCTCAACTTTCAGGCGGTTTGTATATAAGGTACAGTAGTGACCAAGCTTCGTGGAGTTTTAATTAGCCACAAGGGCGCTCTGTAGCTTCTACCGCTGGCGGCTACCTAAAGTCAGCTTGCCTTGCTGCACCCTATAACGCGCTAACCCGCGAGAAGCACAGCTTCGTGCCGCATTTCCCCTGCCGACCTTCACCACATCTGTTTAACGCGCGGAACTGCGATACACACTCTCTTCTTTTCTGGCAAAGCGGTTTCTTTCGCAGCTGCCGTGCTGTCGCGCCCGAATTGTTCCCCAGCATCGCGGATTGCAATTGGCAACCATGTCAACAAACCGTCCTCGCCACAAACACATTGACGACGTTGAAAGGCTCGACTATTATGAGCAAGGTGGATACCACCCTCTTCCAAACGGAAGACTGCCTTCACAAGCGGTACAGAATAATGCACAAGTTGGGTTATGGGAGCTACTTAACTATCTGATCAGCCAGAGATGAACAGCTTTCCAAGTACATCGCCGTTAAAGTCGGCGCCGCTTCATCCAACCACAAGGAAATCGACATACTCAACCGCCTTGCCAACCATCCTGCTGGAGAGAGGTGTCTCGGTAGAGTCCGGTTCCCACCCGTACTCGATCGCTTTAACGTTCATGGGCCAAATGGAACCCATCCCTGCTTCGTCACGGTACCAGCCATGTCCAGTCTTGCTGTCAGGACCCCTGCGGAGCCACCAAGGGCGTGCCAAGCTAAGGGGCTGGCTAGGGAGCTAAGGGCCCGGAGAGAACGTATATATAGGCTGCGGAGGGCCCCCCAAGCTGCGGAGGGCCAGAATTCAGATGTATTCCTATCCCATACCTATAGTCTATCTATCTGCGGACCCTGCGGAAGACCCCTTCACTCTGCTCTAAACAACGCTCTGCCACTTGCCGATGCGATCGCGGCTAGTGACCACAAACCATTCTAGACCAATGTTGCCAGGTCTATTCCTGCACATCTCGCCATGGCTGTGGCACATATGCACAGCGTAAGATGTGTTCACAGCGGTAAGTAATTCAAGCTGGCCGTGCCGCGTAAAAATTGGCATACTGACCTTCTCTAGATCGTCACCTTGGAAACCTCCTCCTTCAAAATACCGGCAGGGATAGATGACTTGACAGTACAGTAGCTCTACAATCCGTATGATATGCCGGAGCCGGAACCTGTTGTGTCGGAAGAGTAATCGGCCACTCTCATTGCCAGGTGTCCCTTCACACGTGTACGCTCCGATTTGGATGGGAAACCCAAGCAATGTGATTTCGTTTGGTGAATCGAAACTCCTTTTCGTCGACTTTGGCACAACTTTTTATTCAGTCCAGGAATCGACAAATGGAGATTTGAGTCGTATATCCCTCTCGAAATCAGACCACCCGAGGCTAGATTTGAACCTACACAGCCATTGACCTTCGCATCGGACGTTTGTAATCTTGGCTGCATGATATGGGCAATCCTCGGCGCGAAACCGTTCCTTGTGCAAGGTTGTTTGGGCCAGAGAGCGCTGCCGCAGCTTGAATTGATGCCCTGGGGCCTCCGCCAGATGAGTGGTGAGAGAGTGGCAAGCCACAAGAAAGACAGAGTCGTTTGATGGGAATGTAAGACCAAAGCCAGGTAGAGAGGTATGGACATTCGAACAACGAGTTGAAGATAGCATACAGTACCGCGGAGAGAGAGTGGTATGGAGATGATTGCTGATGACGAAAGGGAAGCCATCTTTGAGATGATCAGGGGCATGCTGAAGTTTTGTCCTTGCGATCGCATGACTGTTCAGCAGGTGTTGGAAACAAAATGGATGAGGAAATGGGCCATCCCAGGAACTGAGAGATCATGGGAAACGCGGGGCACCTTCTTTGACAAGTTTCAATCATTTCAGTGTAGGACTATTGCGATGATTAGCGGTCAGGAATTAATCATCGAGAAATATGTTGGCCGCAACTCAGCGCCCTTGGCCTTTTGTCGTAAGTACTATCTTTTGAACCCCCGAATTTTGGATATCTAGTCATTGGGAAGGTCATGATCCTCTTCCATCCATCAGGATAAGCTATCGTGGTTCGAAGCCTCCAAAATTAGCGCCCTCTCGGTCTTGGCGCCGCAGCCGCCTCGTGACGACCTGTTTGCATTCAACGCAATGATGAGGGTCAGAGGAAAACAGGACGGGGCCTAAGACTATTGGCTAAGAGCGAGAAATGCGGTCAGGAGGTGCAATATATCGCCCCGATCATCCGCACAAACAACATCAGGGGCCGAACGCTACGACAGACGAGACTCAAACCAGGCTGCTCGTATAATGGTCGCCGCAAAAACTGATAGTGACCATAATGCGAGATTTCCGTGGGACAGAGGTAGGTTCAGCACGGTAAAGAATGGTCTTCGCGCACCGACAAGTGCCAGGAGGCCCTTGCGGAGCCATGGGGCAAGGGATGGGTGCTAAGAACTCAGAGAACATGTACTCAAAGGACTGCGCAGGTGTTGTGTGTTGCTTACGAACTACGTGCGGAAGACCCCTTCACTCTGCCAAGAAGCATCATAACATTCACCCATGAGGGCATCAATCCTGCCTTAAGGCGCCTAAGTATGATCAGTTCACATCATGAGTTATTAAAGTGAAAGGTCGAAATATCGACTTGCTGATTAGGGTAGAGAAAACAAAACGAAAATGAAAAAACATACAACACCAGGTATTCGCTGGTCGTCACCGACCCAACTACTAATCCGGCCCTTACTGGCTTATCTATGGGAGAGCGGACGGGATCCCGAGTTTTCCAGCAGGTATGGTCGTATGTGCTAGGTTTCGCCGCTTTTGTCAACTATAATCTATTAAAATTCCCTCACACCGATCATCAACCCTTCTTGATTCACGACCCCAATTTAGGCATGCAGCTAATGAAGCTAGGCAGTTCCAATCATCAAGTGCTTGGGGGTCCCTTTCAATTACTGAGCCTCTGGCTCCATGCAATTGTGTGATCACAGGGCAACATTGCAAGCTGATGTACCTTCGTCTGGCAGTGTAGCGTGTCTAACACTCATGAGTCACTGAATCTCGCGATCCTTCGAGCAATACGCGACACCTATGACGCCAACCCAAGCGCATAGAGAGAGCTTGCGACTCCCTGTTACCCCTCTTTAGTCCCGATGCTACCCATCAGGGTTCATCACGGCGCGCCATATGTGCTTGCAAATCGTTAGCGACATGAGTTCAGGGACTGTCCCTTATGAGCGGCCTACATGCTGCTTCTGGCTTTCACGGAATCTTGGGCACCTTATTCCTTCATTACGTTTGGCACGGCGTTACGACACAAGAGAGGCAGACGCAGCACCTAGAATTGCCGGGTACGGAGTCCGTGTTCTGGTGGCCTGCGGGCAGCATTGCTCGTTCGATGCACCAGATGGTGCCGGCGGAATTCCCTCAATCGGCCATTTCCATCCGATGCAGGCTCCGCTTTCTGCGGGATGGGCAATGGCGGGATCATGCATCTGGGGCCAAGTGAGATCATCGATGAGTTCATCAGGGTCCACGAGCTCGAGCGACCCCTCGTACGTCCATTTTGTGTGGAGTATGACAACCAGGGGCAGCGGAATAAGAACCTTGTGCCCCTCACTCGTTCCGAAGCCCACCCCTCACTACACACATCTCGACGATATTTCTCATTACAGGAGCCAAAGAGAAGACAACTCTGTCATCAATTAGCACACAGTCACCATCCAGCAATCCCAAGAACCACTACCAACATGTCGTTCGGCACCAAGGCTACATTCCACACCGGCGCGCAGATCCCCACGCTGGGATACGGCACCTGGCAGTCGTCTCCTGGCGAGGTCTCCGTGGGCGTCTACGAAGCCCTCAAGGCTGGCTACCGCCATCTTGTAGGGCCCTTCGCTTGGATCAATGATTTCCTGGCGCGCAGCAAGATTGCTAACTGTAGTCACAGGATCTCGCCAAGATCTACCAGAACCAGCCCGAGGTCGCCGAAGGCATCAAGAAGGCCTACAAGGACATTCCGGGACTCAAGCGCGAGGATATCTTCATTGTGAGTGCCCGCAGATGCTCCAGGCCTCTAGGAACCAAGGATCAATGCTGACTTATGGATCTCTCAGACCTCCAAGCTGTGGAACAAGTATGTGCTCGTACAACACCTACGGCATTCCGACTACTTTCTGCTGATACTCGGAACTAATTGATCAATAGCTCTCACCGTCCCGAATATGTCGAGGCCGCCCTTGATCAGACTCTGAAGGAGCTTGAACTTGACTACCTTGACGTACGTCTTTCGGCACTTCGTTGTAGCAGGGCAATAGAATAATGTCGCTGACAGCGTACAGCTCTACCTCATCCACTGGCCTGTCGCATTCAAGCGCGACGGTGCTGCTGACGCTGACAACCTCTTCCCCGCCTCCGAGAACGGCAAGGCGGTCGCTGTCGACGACGACGTGTCCATCGTCGACACCTGGAAAGGTACGCATATTCCCGAGACCTCGATGCCGTACTGTTTCTGACGAGAATAGCATTGATTGATCTGCCCAAGTCCAAGGTCCGCAACATTGGCGTCTCCAACTTCACGGTCGAGCACCTTGAGAAGGTCATCAGCGCCACTGGCGTGGTTCCCGTCGTCAACCAGATCGAGCGCCACCCTCTTCTCCAGCAGAATGACACCGTCATCAAGTACGCCAAGGAGAAGAACATTCACATCACTGCCTACTCTGTCAGTTGATCTCGTCATGATTCTTTTGGAAGTATGCAATGGCTAACCGGAATTTAGGCATTCGGCAACAACAGCATTGACGCGCCGCTCCTTCTCGTCAACGACACTATCAAGGCCGTTGCCGAGAAGAACTCCGCGACCCCCGCACAAGTTCTGTAAGTTTTGACACGCTCCCTGCAATCAAGGTGTATGTACTAACATGGGAATAATAGGCTCGCGTGGGCCCAGATCGGTGGTCACAGTGTTATTCCTAAGTCTGTAACCCCCTCGCGCATCGCAGCCAACTTCCAGGAGATCAAGCTCTCAGACGAGGATTTCGCCGCCGTCAGCAAGATTGGCGAGAACCCCGTGCGATACAAC